TTTGAGGGGTTGCTCGCCGCTTACTAGCTCCTTTTATGCCATGAAAACGACCTGACTTTTTGATCATTTGCGACGCACGACAAAGAACGGATTCTTTGCTACAGAATACGAACCTTTGGTGAAGTGATCGACCGCGATCAGGCTCTACAAACTTTGCAAAAGTGAAACTTCACTGAAGGAAGGTTGAGGTGACTTTCATAAGGTCAGCGGCTGGTCTAGCTTTTCGTAACCAGGTGGATCTGTTAATGTGGAAAAAGTACTCCTGATAATGTGTCAAACTACTCCTAGAACTCTGGCACATATGCTCGAAATTCCTCATTATAAAGGAACCGGCTCGTCCCTGACAGGTAGCTCGGACGCACATTCCACAACCAACCCTGCAGAAGTTGGACAAGATTGGCTACGAATTAGTCCTGCGAACATCCTACTCGGTAGACCTTTTGCCTATAATTTGTCACTTTCTCGACTACCTGGATAGCTTCTCCAAAGAGTTATGCTTCAAAAACCAACATGATGCGGAAACGACCTCCGCCGGGTTCATCGTCTCTAGAGCTCCAGTATTCTGCACTACCGGGCTGATTCAACGCAGCTATTATTGGCAGAGGTTTGTGGATTCTAACAGTCAAAAAGGTTTCGAATGAGCCGAGATACAGGCATTTGAAAATCAAGGTCCAAAAGCGCAAGAACTTTCTTCACGACCTAATAATTTTCAGTGGTGAATGGATCATTGACAGTATAATTTTAAAGTAGCAAATTTTGCAAAAGGGGTCCTGAAATGTTTCAGTGTAATGTAATTTCGGCAAGAGCTTGGCCCATTTTCGAATCATTTTATCTTGTTGCATTACAGGAGCCCAAAAGGCATATGCAAAGGACGAATTTGCTGTCGATGTCGGCACGCTTATTTTGAAAACTTCGTTTGGCAGGCAGTACATAAAACTACAGTACATGCAGCATTGATTGCTACTCCGATCGCTTTTGCCACTAATAAAGGCTTGCTTGAAGCCTGCTTAACAGTCCACATTTTAGAACACATTATAGAACAAGGCAGCAAAACCTGTGGGAGCAACGTACTTGTACTGCCTGATTATGCTCCGAATAGACTACGTTAGATTTTGAAGCAACAACTCACGATGAGGTCATGTGATCCTCTGTGGACAATATCCTGTCCACGAGTATCACAGATGTGCCACTCACCACTCAAAAGTGCGCGGCAGTAGCGCTAAGGCCTTATAAAGTGAGTTCGTAGGAGCAAAGGTGAGCAGTGTACTACACCTCAAACCCCAGTTGAAGCCCGCTCCCCCTCGCACCTCTAGGAAAAATGCCATTTCGTGGGGTGTAAATGTTTTCCTTCGGCCTTTTCTTCACTTGTCACCTGAGTACACGTTTCTGAAAGGTGACTAGTTCATCGCACCATCTGCCTTGAAGAAGTGCAAATCTTAGCAGATGAAAAGAAAAGGTAGAAGACTTTATTCAGAGAAAGAAATACTTAGTAATGTGCAAAAAATGTTCGATAGAATGAAAGCTATAATTAACAACGTAATAAAGCACAAATGTTCCATTGCTGAGCATCATTCATGATTCCAGTACAACTACACCTACAACATCACCAAGAAACCAACATTATCACAGCAATATACGAAATGATTACTAGGCATCAAACATAATTAAAAAGATTCTCTGCAGTTACTGGAGGGGGAAGGGGGTTATTGGTTACGAATCATGGGCAGGGTATATTGCCATGAATTTAGCGCCGGGCAGAAGAAACTGTCAAAAACCCGGCGCTCCTGTGATAATTTCAAAGAGATGATTTATGTAGTTTGAGGTAAAATCGTAACTCCTTAACAAATGCTATCGCATTTAACAAAACAGCACAGTCGAAAGCAGTTTTTCAAAGTTCAGAACTTCAGCTACATGTAAGCACTATATGAGACCATCCTTGGACTCGCGTGCCAAGCAGGTACATAGAGAAGGAAAGCCGCACAGCCTCACTGAAACTGTGTGAAGCCTGTCCTATATTACATTTTGATGTCCGAAGAAGCCTCAGAAGCAGTGCGATAAGGAAGTATTCCTTGTCCGCCTAAGCCATCAAGCCTCAGATGTCGGTGAGACTCTGCGATTGCATCGCGCGATGCAATCGCAGAGTCTGACCGACATGTCATGGTAGCATACACAAAATTAAGAACTTAGAAAACTTGGAAAGAGGGAAAAGGTATGAAAAGAAAACAGGGTTCCTAGCTGAATTGTTGAGAGTGGAATGTTGCAGTGGAATCTTCGCCCAAGGGTGCACTTTTGACGCTGTTGTGAGAACACAAAGCTGACACTAAAAAACCGGTGGTCATACTCAAGGGCACATACTTCGATACCAGAAGCAGAGTATAGGGTTCTTCTCTATAGTTCATACCTTTGAATGCTGGAGGTACAAGTCCTGGCCCAACATACGTGTACAATTACGAGTCAAAGGGGTAAATGAAACAATCAAGGGTAAAGTGATAACTGGTTTATTAGAACAGGAAGGAGAAGAAAGATCGACGGGAACTCGAGGAAGTGCAGATTGAAATCAGTCACTACATGGACCTCATGTATTCTTTCAGTAGTAGTCGCCGCTTTGTTTTAGGGTCGTAATCACTGGTAGACGTTAGGCGTGCGCCTGTCAGCTGACAACAGGCTATCACATTAATCGTCTATGAGTTCTCAGGCTCCTTCAGCAGCAACACTGAAGAGAGCAAAAAGATTTACTATTACAGTGTGAGAGATGAGATTCACTGATGACTCACAACAGTGAGATCTCGACTTCATTGACTGGTACCTGCTTATAGGACAACTTTCTAACATTTATATGCAGCTTTGTTTTTTTTTTCGAGTCAAAGGAGAATGAGATTCTACTGCAAGTAAAATATAGAATTGTGACCAAGGCGCTTGGCAGGAGGTTCGAAGTGCGCAAAAGCGGTGAGGTAAGTATAATATCTCTAAGCAGCCCTGTTGAAGAATTGTGATGTATCATAATCTGCAGCAACAACGTTCGAAATGACTCCTCTGGCTGCTTTTCAGCTCATGCCAAACAGTTTTTATTGAATGAGGGGTAGCTAGGGATCAACGCCTAAAGGCCGTAAACGCTATGGCTAGGGGGGCGGGGTAGTTCGAAGGCATCAATGCTAGAACCACTAATGGCAAAATTGGCTCTGCCTCGTAGTCATTGCACCCGCGGAATATATATGCAGCACTGCAAAACGTTTCCGAGACGTCTACCGAAAACTGACTTTTAAACTTTGGTACTGGAGTACTGGAGTAAATTTACAGGGAAGCGAGATGACCAGAAAAAATTTAAAACGGCTAAAAAAGAGGAAAATGCAACTGTATGCATGAGCTGTATGCCCCACTGCTAAGAACGATCGCAATGCAGCAACGTTCCATGTCGAAAGCGATTGTATTAGTAGTAGTCGCAGTCATTGCGTAGCATTCTCTTCGAAGCTACTGAGCTGATTACCGTTGTGACCAATGAGAATATTGTTGCTACGAGCAATAACCAGTAGGAAGAGCCAAGCTGTAACTTAGAAATTGAACAGCAAATAGCAAAGCTAATCTTGTTGGAACTCACCGATACACCCAATCCACCAATTGGCAGCAGATCTGCTGGAAATATTCATAATTTTCGCGATAGCAAACGCCTTTCATACATTTAGGTCGAGTTTTAACCCTCGTTCTTGAAGTTGAAGCATGGGGTAAAAAAAGAAAAATGATGAAAGATAAAAAAAATGTATAACATAAAATGAGATCCGCCAAGACATCAAATATGTTAAAAATAAAAATAAATAAAAATAAATCATCACACCAGTATTGCGATTGTATTCTATTCCGTACGTGACCAGAACAACTAGCAGGAACAATGTTACCATTCCTTGTATAAGCGCAGAACCTTATGAGTGCTTCCTCGGTCGGAATCTCGGTATGCAACTAAAAAAAGAAAGTTAGTCTTCAATTTCAGCAGCGCTCCCTTTCTGTAGCTGTTGATGCAGAAATCTGTTGCTAATGTTGCTTCTGTTTGATCCATAAAGGGTAAGATGTCATGCATCCCGAGGTCAAATACGTGAGCCGCGAAAGCTCCTGCTGACTTCACTGACTCCGTGAACGTCACTTGTTCTACACCTTCATATTCGAGTTGTAGCTGCCCACGAAACCACGCTCACTTGGCTGTTCAAGGGCATGCTCATATAAAAGGAGCCTAACTCGATTAATGCAGAATTCTTTCCCAACTCTCCGCCCACTTAGCTCACTCAGCTGTTAGAGGACATGGTTCTGATAAGTGGAGCCCTACTCGACTTGCACAAGAGTACAGTATTCGGGCAGGCTCCATCCGCTAAATACGGGCTCTTGGTCAAGCCCCGCCTACTATACATGCACTATACTCTAGTACATGCCCACATGCCCCGAACGCAGCTCTAACTCATTTGGATCACACCAGCTACTTCTTCAGGTCTGGGTAGCCAGTCAACCGTCGACGGTAGACAGACAGACAGACAGACAGACAGACAGACAGACAGACAGACAGACAGACAGACAGACAGACAGACAGACAGACAGACAGACAGGCGTATCAAACTCCTCCCCTATAAGTGCTTCAATGCAATCAGTGCAACTCACACTGCCATCGCTGCAGGAATGAGTGCAAAAAATTGGAATACCCAAGCGAACAACATCACCAAGAAGAACATTATGTCCCATCCATCAGCACTCTGAAAATTGTGGTCTCAGATAAATGTTTTTTTTTGGTAAATGGCAGTTATTGACCGGAAGGCAAGAATCCTAAGTGCAGTTCATGCAGAAACTGCTTTTTTAAATAGTGTCGATAGTAGCGATTTCAGTTTTTTCTGGATCATCTAATGTAATCCTTCAGAGCAGGAATAAAATATTAACAAGTAGTTATTTTTGCGTAATTTCACTTACATCCCAGAAGAGATTGCAGGTATTCGAAGTGACGCATCCCCATGGGAAAATTCCAGCCGACTGACTGATTGATATGATACTCGCTGAGACAGTGACTGTCACCCATTCTGAAAAATGACAATGAAAGAAAAGTAATGAATCGAAAACCAATCGAATAAAGGACTACTAATATGGAAGATGGAGCTAGTAAATAAATGTGTGACATCTCATGTCAAAATTACGCCAACTTTCAAAGTAGCCCTGTATGCGTTTCAGGTTTTTACTACTTTCTGTTTTCGCTCATCAACGGCACAACTTTTGAGTTTTCTCGATAGGTGTAAATTTTGTGGGGACACTTTTCACACTTTCGAAGCTTTATACTGTACATCCACAACTAACTCCATTTTTCCCTTCTTTATTGCTAACCAAGGTCAACTTTTTTCACAATTTCCGATCTTTATTGAAGGTAAATTTGGAAAAGATGCTGTCGATTGGGGCTCCTTAGCCTGGGTTCCATTCTGGCTATGTTTTTGTGCACTGGAACGGTGTTTGCTCCTCTAAGCTATTCCGGTCGCATACATTTGAACTTGGATCTCCTCCCCATTCAATAGATTGATAAGCCTGATCTGTGCTCTTCAGAACGGTGACGCAATGCGTACGCATTGTGCAACTATGTATTATAGTCCCCTCTCTTCTTATAGGAAGCCGACTGGAAGCGCGCGCTTCGAAGGCAGAGACCCAGACGGGCCAGCGGACGAATTGCCGTGCGTGTTGCAGTGATTTCACGTCAAGTAAATAAAATATACTAGAGTATCCCCCATCACACAACAAGTGCAACTCGTCCGCTGACCCCTCTGCATCACTGCCTTTTGTCGCGCGACGGGGCTCCTGTCGGGTACCTGTAAAGTGTCTCCTTCAGTTTGCGTTAGAGTACTGCGCACTGTCGGATACGCCTCGTTGTAAATTTGTTTATCAGAAATCAAAATAGAAAATCTGGACACTGTTTCATGGAAACCCGGAAGTTTGCGAGAAATGACCTATCCATCCGCTGCTTCGCTGAAATAAGACCAGAGGGAGGGGGGGGGGAGGACATGTGCGTCATGGAAACGCTCAAACGTTGTTTTTTTGCCACAAAATTGAGAGATTTGCTTATGAAAGAGTAGGGCCAAAACATTCCCGTAAAAGCCTAATACTTCCGCAATACTTGCGATCAGCTGTGATGCATATGTCAATTTGTTCCTCTATAGAGGTAGTGGAGCGCGGAAAATTTTGACGTCTACAGCGTTTCAATTTTTGGTCAATCTCTCACCAAAATCACCCAATTTTCTACGTTTATAACGTTGCGACTCCTGAGTTGCTTCTTCCATATAGCACAAAGCCTACCCATGCCTTACGCTGGTGCTTAAAAAGGGGTGAAATGACAGCGCACGTAGTTTTTCCCCTTTCCTCGGTATGGTTTGGCACCAGGGTGAACTGCACATGGGAGTGTGAAGGCAAGAAAGTGACTGCAGCGTGGTTGCCATTGTTGACACCGTCCTTACACAGCCTCCAGAGTCACGCCGTCTTGAACATCTCTTCTAAGCACTACTTATAGAGGGAGATTGCAACTCAGCAGTACAAAAAGCCAATTACCTAGAAAGATGGATAGGTGTGAAGTGCTTTGACAGCACCTTTGATTAACAGCAGTATTCCAGTTCCGCCGCCAAAAACAGATGGGAGAATAAAAGGTGTTATCGCAATAAAAGGAGGCATTGTGGTGTAAATGCACTTGAAACTGCGTGAAAAATCTCCTTCTTAATCAGAAATAAACTAAGCCTCAGGCGGGAGCAGAGAGTCCATGATAAGTGAGCGATTTTCATTTTCCCCGAAGGTCTTCTAGGCTTGTTTCAGATGACACCCCCGTAACTTGCGATAGCGCTCAGTAAGTTTCTCTGGCAGCGATACTCGGAAAACTGTCTTTGAATGAACGCGGAGATGGCTCTCACAGGAGAGAAAGTCGAGAGAGCTGTTCAACTCAAGAAACTCAAGTTTCAAACTATATACTTTCATTCTAGAACGCTAGAACTCTAGAACTCTAGAACTCTAGTAAATATGACAGAACAAATGCAAATATCGTACGTGAAAAATAAACAGGGTTATGTAACATGAAGTAAACATACCTTGTGTGAAAAGGCTTATGCAAACGAAAATGAATGTGACGACAGCGGCGATGGTAGAAGAAATTAACAAGCTCATCAAATGGCTTGGCATTTTTTGCGTGAAGAATGACGGCGTCGCCGAATAATGTGTTAGCGCGTTATCGTGGCTTAAAAACCCGGAGACGATGCTGAGGCTGCACAATCACGCTGAATCATTATTTGAGTTCAAGGCTTAACCAACGTGGTGATAACGAAATTATGCAAACATTGTGTGATTCATTTGGAGAGCATTTTGAAACTTGAAAAGGCCAACAACGTCTTGGAGCATGTGCCCTGGCGGAACGTGTGTTTTGGCGCTGTGTCATGATTCCAGCGAATCACTGTTCTACAGGGAATGCATCAAACAACATATGTTCCTTATGACCTGATTGTCAGGACCAAAGAAAAAACGGAACACCTCCGAATATGCGCTTTTCGCTGTGTCTATCTCTGGTGAAGGTTCTTTTTCAGGCTAAGGCGCTGTTGTAAAACTCTGTTGAAGTGCAGAAGTAAGCGCTATAGTGGCTTGTACTGTCAAGCTAGTAAATAAGTACCCTCCATTCAAAAACGAGAAAAGCGTCGGGTGCAGACCATACACCACAAGTGACGACGGCCTCCAAGTAAATCTGGTTAGTAGTGGTTCATAGTGATAGCTGATTTTTGGTAAATGATAGTTGTAATTAGTGACAACTGATAGAATACAACTGCAACAGGCTAATCATTTCATTGGCAAAAACATTTACATTTTGAGGCCGTCGTCACTTGTGGTGTATGGTCTGCACCCGACGCTCTTCCTCGTTTTTGAAAGGGAGTTACATGATCGAGCCGCCCAATGCTTACAGCATTCCAGCTAGCCCCAATTCCGTGTTAGTTAAATGGAACCAGTGCTCCTTTCGAAGGCCTGGAATCCTTTGACACAGTAGACTTAAGAGAGCTCGAGGACAACTATGAGGTCAATCACCCTTCTATTCGTTATCCTCGCGTGGTACTGTGTTCGCACTCCAGGACCGGGGTCAAGCGTGCGTTGAGGAATCCTCGACACGTCGCAGGGGGGGGGGTCGTATTGGCCCGCTGGGTGGAAGAGATCGAGCCATTTTGATGCAGTGGGATCATCACCGTCGGAAGACAAATATCAAGGATGAGTCGATGCCAGGCCAGAGGATTTCCAATGAAAATGATATTTCACCCACACAAAATTTTCGTGATTCTGAGGCGCGTCCGGTAATTCTTAGTTACTTCAGTGTTTTATCACCACACAAGTTAAAGAATCTGAATTTCGCACGCTTTCCAAGAGATATTTCATCTTTCAAGTAAGACCCCGAATCTGAAGGGATGTGAGGTACACGGCGCATCCGAGAAAGGGTCTAGTTGTTGCGCGCGCTTGAACTACGGCTCCTTGGACAAACAACCTCAATTCAGGAACAATCGAGAGAATTCTGAAAGTGTCCGTGCGCATTTACAGGGAGGTGTACACCATTCAACATTGCGTTAACGGACTCTTCAGGGTTAAATTTATAAACATGTAACCTTTAAAGTTGAGAAACGCTAATCAATCACTTTTCTTAGAAAGAGAAAAGCAATGATTCCAAATCTGCTCTTACTTTAGTACATACGCCCTTAAAAGGATATACAGCCGTTGAAATAGTGCCAATGTAGCGAAAAAGTACCTTTCGGCGGTACTCGTGCGAAAATCCTCAACGTAGCCGTTTTTTTAATACTGGACGTTTGGAGCAGTTCTAGTAAGCATTTGATAGAGCAAATCTTCTAGTTTATGATGGCGTATTTACTTTTCGGATTGGATGAGTTTGAACGGAGTTATGGCTTTAGGAAGTAAAAAAACTCGCACTCATCACAAATTTTCCTCGTTAATTTTGCAAAAATCCTCAACGTGGCCATTTTTTGAATACTGGACGTATAGAGCTGCTTTAGCAACGGTTTGGTAGAGAAAATCTTCTAGTTTTGTCTGCCATATTAACTTTTCGAATTTGACGAAAATGAAGCAAGTTGTTGCTTCGGAAAGTGTAAAAACTCGTGCTCATCTCGAATTTTCCTCGTTATTTGATCTAAATTTGTTATTTCTTATAACTTCCTGTAATTTCAGTACTGATTAGAAAAAGCTCTTCACAAAACTCCCAAATCTGCTTTCAGATTGAAAATTCGTCATATTTGAAGAAAGTTATAATCATTTGAATATTTGTTCAAATTTCAATAGTAAATAAGCTGCTCCACGGTCAACGCCAAAGTCCAGTCAACACACAGCTGGCGAAGGCGGTTAAAAAGCTTCTTTCAACTGAAGGGCTACGTGCAAATTGAGAACCACAATCTGTGTAGTACTAGAATTTGGTAAGTCTTGTGGAGGAAATAAATAAAGAAGAGATGTTGTCATAGTATGCCATTTTTAGTGGCTAGTTTGTCGTTTTCTGGTCTGTTTCTCGTTTGCTCGTTTGGTAGGACTCATCAATAATGATTATTCTTTGACTTTTTCACTTTTGTACTTCTTAAACGAATTTTTTTGTGGGCGGTGGGGTAGCAGGGCTTTTTATGAGCAGTTTTGGGGGAGAATTAAACAAGCTTTTCAACCTTTTCATAGTTCGGCTTTTGAAGAGGGTTGTTTCATGGACTTCGGCCTCCGGCGGGGGGTGGGGGGGGGTATTTCCAAATTTTCCTCAACGCCTCGCTTGACCCTGCCAGGACCACAGTCTCAACCTCACTTCCATGACCCAGCAACACGTCCTTGGCGTTTCAAGCGATATCCATGATGCCGACGGTCACTCTTGTGGTGTGGTTTCAGTAAGCAAGCGTATCAGGGATCACATTCTCTACAACACCCTGACAGCTTATCAAGCTCTCCTGTAGATTAGACTGCAACTCACCTAACCACTAGGGTGAAAATCGTGTCTCGAGGAAATGGCCGAGCCTTCACGACCCCCATCTATATTTACAGAGGTTCCGATACAACACCCTTCTATCCTCCGCACATCCGGCATCATATCAGAAAAATTTTAGTTTTACATGCAACGACGAACGAATGCACGTACCCCTCCCCCCGCACCGTCTACCGCTCGGCTGCACGCGGTCAAATATACAAATAATTTTGCACAGCCTATCCGTTCTTCTCCTACCCTTTCGAATCATCCCAGTCTATCGCCACTGACCAATAAAGAATAGTTATCATAAACGCCATTCAGACACTCGACAGATTGTCATCAGTACAAACCACATTGTGTCGCCCATCGTTACTTATCGGTGATGCATGGTCTTAACCAAATTAAAAGCAAACCCCGGGATTAGCCCGACTAGTAGGAAGGCTACCGCGACGAGGGGGAAATTGTAAGACCCGTACCTACCTAGATCACTTCAACTTGGTCGCGAAAATTGCGCGGTTAGGGCGCTAATCCTTACGGGCCTCCAACCATCGAACGCTTCCCACCCACCGCGAGATGTGGTGAGATCAGCGTGCTCTCTCAAACGACGTTCTCTCTCGCGTGTTTTGACCTCTCTTGATCGCCCTGTCACATCCGACCTTTTTGAAGGTTAAGGCCTTAAGTTCAGCGTTCCCAAAGAGTTCTCTCGCTTCCTCTCCCACTTTGGGGTCGCTCCGCAGCTAAGCTATCACTGCGAAGCGCTCTTAGCACCAGTTTAATTCCGGAGTTTGCCTTTAATGATTGAGATAGAAACATGATTTTTACGTACACGATTCCTTTAAAGTTTGATCGCACCCATAAGAGACTGAAAAATTTACAGTAGAGGGTTGTCTCGAAAAAATTCTGCCGCTCTTCAAAATCACCTGCTTATCTTAAAATAATTCTTGCAAATTGAATAAGTTTCGCAGGTGGCAGACGTCTTGATCTGCTGGATCGTTTAAAGTGATGACACCCTGGGGCCGCCTCAATACTAAAGTGCAAATGCATTTTTTTTCTGAATTGAAACGAATTCATATGTAATATTGAAAAATTTTAGTGGGGAACCGCTAAGTGTTTGTCTTGGAAACTTTCAACAGTTGACTAACTAGTAGATCGTTCTCTTATAATAATTCCTCAAAATTGGCGAAATTCACCCAAAGTGACTACCAGCCCCTATAGCTCCAAGTCGACCAGTCGTTTGTACAATTCCGTGCTGTGGCGTTGATATGGTCCCATCCTAATTAGAGCACCCATGCGCACAAGCCTGTTGAGGTATTCTTGTCACATCCAGTTGGACTAGTCCTCAGAAATCTTCCTGTCCTGCTTTCGTTAGCCTTCATTATTAGAAAATTATTTGAAAAATTAATTACTATCATCTTCTGGGCTGCCCATACATTGCTCTAGGCCTTTCGACTCTCCAGGCAGGGTTAAATCGTGTCGAGTACGTGGATCGCAGAGGCTACGACCCCTCCTGAATCAGATCTAGCAGACCCCCTCTAACAGACAGCAATTAATGTCGGTTACCCCCAGGAGGGCCCCCGTCTTCAATCCCCCGGGGCGCGGCAGAAGGCAAAGTCAGCGGACGAGTCACGCGCGTACTACAGGGATTTCGCGTCAAGTTGAACAGAGTGTCCCACTGCACGTCCTACATCGCACACCATGCGCTGCAACTCGTCCGCCGACTCTGCCGTCTTGCCGCGCGATGGGCCTTGGGCGGCTGTACCAATTATTCAATTAAAATAAATCCTGCAAAACAAAAATCAAAAAAAAATCAAAACAATCAAAAAAAATTCTGCAAAATAATGCTAAGGACGCTTCATCTTGTCATCTATGCACGTCTCCCATCGCTGCATACTTTTGTGTACATACTGAAATATCGACTCGAGGAAAGAGGCATTAACTTTGTGTGACCTCAAGGCGAGGTTCAGAAACGCACAGAAATCCTGAAGACACGGGGTTGCGATTCAATCTTGATTCTTGCTTGAGTATATCAAAACAGCCGAGTGTATCAAAGGCCGATTCAACGGCAGCTGCGGCGCGATTGTCACTGGGTCAGATTTGCCGAAATTTCAAAAAAAAACGTCCGAATCTACACCCTCGATGAAAAGGTTGCATTCCTCCATTTCACAACCTTTGAAGCAGCTTGAGGGTAGAGTTAGATAGAGCTGGATTTCGCGTTTCCAACAAGCATCGAAAT